CATAGATTGTTAACAGCTGACATAAATAAGAAGGAGCAATACCACGTAGAGATTTAAAAACGAACAACAACAGTTTCAACTGGATCCTGTATACTACAGGAAGCCAGTGCAACGACTCCAGTATTGGAGTGGTGTGCTCTCTACGTGTGTTAATAGGTGAGCAGCTGCAATCTGAACCAGTTGCAGATGGTGTATGGAGGACTGCTCAAGGCCACAGTACAAAGAGTTGCAGTAATCCAGCCTACAGGATATAAAGAAGTGTATCACCTGTTCAAACACATTTGGAGGGAGGTAGGGCTTCACCTTAGCGAGCTGTCTTAGATGGCAAAAACAGGACTGAACCACTGCACTGACTTGCCTTGTTAATTTAAAAGAGCCATCAAGAAACACCTCCAGGCTTTTAACATTAGGTTTACAGTAAGGTGCGATTGGACCCATGAGGCGAGCAACAGTCTCTGGAGATCTTGGGCAATCAAAAACCACAATCTCAGGTTTTTCCTCATTTACCTTGAAGAAATTTAGAGCCATCCACTGCTTAACATCATTCAAGCAGTTCGTCAGCACAGCAAGCGAGTCAGCTCCTACTTGTAAAGGCAGATACATTTGCAAATCATCTGCAAAACAATGAAAAGCAATATTATGCTTTCTAAAAATGGAACCCAGAAGGAAGCATATACAGAGCAAAGAGAGCCGGACCAAGAATTCAACACTGGGGAACACCACTGCTAAGAAGTGAATTGTCAGAGCTAAACGGGCCAAGTCCTACACGATATGACCAACCAGCGAAATATGACAGGAACCATTGTAAGACCATGGCCTTGAGACCAACAAAGGTTTCTAGCTGAGATAGCAAGATACCATGTTCAACAGTGTCAAAAGCAGTTGTCAGATCAAACAATTTCCAGAGTCTGTGGTTAAAAACAGGTCATTAAAAACTCTTCAAAGAGCTGATTCAGTACTGTGGCGAGGCTTAAAACCTGACTGAAACTACTCAGTTGTGCCATTTTTTTCTACATATTCTAGTAGTTGTGTGTACACAATCTTTTCGAACACCTTTGAAAGAAATGGTAGCTTTGAGATCGGCCTATAGTTTGACAACACATTTGAGTCCAGACTTGACTTTTTTAATAAAGGCTAAAATATAGCATGTTTAAGATAATCTGGGACTCAGCCAGTGGCAAGTGAGGAGTTCATTATCCTCAGAATGAATGGACCTATGGCGACAAGCAAGTTTCTATGAAGGTTAGGCAGTAGATTGTTAGTAGAGCAATATGATATCTTCAAATGGTGGATGACATCATGAAGTTCATCTAGGGAAAGTCCTGTTTTGTAACACATAACTTTCATTTCGTAACACATAACTTTAGTTTTGATGCATGTAATTCTCATTTTGTAACATGTAACTTCGGTATGTAACGTGAAACCTTTATTTTGTAACTTGCAGAAAAAATATCAGTGTACAAGTTTCAAATCACAACTTTCAAAACACAAATCTCAGTCTACAGTTACAAAACTCAAGTCTACAAGTACAAAACATTTTGTCCCAATTCTAGCTTGCTTCCAACAGGAATTGACTTTGACAGGAATCCGAGACTCATGATTGATTGGTCGGACAAAGCCTGTCATTGGTTCTGTGGGATGGAAGCTAGAATTGGGACAAAATATTTTGCACTTGTAGACTTAAATATATTGGCCAGAGGCAAAATTCCTTTGAACAGCATGTAACTGTAGACTGAGATGTGTGTTTTGAGAGTTGTGATTTGAAACTTGAACATTGATTGTTTTCTGCAAGTTACAAAATGAAAGTTTCATGTTCTGTACCAAATGTTACGTGTTACAAAACAAGAATTACAAGTTACAAAACGAAAGTTACAGTTAAAAAACATGTTACAGGTTACAAAACTTGGTACAAGTTACATATAACATTGTCCCAATCCTAGTTCCATAACGTTGCCTCCGTCCATGCCAAATCTACGCCCTTGGCGTGATGATGAAAGCGCAGAGGCTGGATGAATTTTTCAAACTTAAGATCCTTCCCTCTGCAGATTCCAACTACCACACGCAATAAGATGTTTTCGGACAAAATAACAGCCCCAAAGAAAGTACCATCGTTAGGGTTGGAGGTTTTGAGTTAACGGCAACTATATGAGTAGAACGTTTCCCCTTATGGGCTCGACACACGGGAGGCGACATCGCCTCTCCTCCATTCATTTTCAATGAGACATGCGCGACAAAGAGATAATCGCGGGTCTCTCTCCTACCAAGCGAAACGCGAAAAACGTGCGTGTGAAATTTTGCGCTCGTGCACGTGTCGTGCACGGACGACCCAGCGACGCAATCCCAGAAAGTTGAAACATTTTCAACTTTTCATCGCTGTCGCTGGGACGAGGACCAAACAACGGAGGTTTCATTCACTGACCAATGAGCGGACATAATGCTCCGCACATCTCCGAGCAAACATGGAGGAGAAGTTGATTATTATTATGTTTTATATAGTAAAACCACAAGAAAGATTTCACATAACTCTAGCAGCACCTGGTGAAACATCATATCTATCGCTTTATTAACTCTGAACCGCTTAAATAACCTTCATTCCCTCTAACCTGACACAGCCAAGCAAAACAACGGAAGTTTCAATTTCGTCCTGGAACAGAATGCGTAGACGGCTTTGCCGCTGGCCGCTGCCGCGGATTGCCTCCCGTGTGTCAGGTAATAAAAGCGACAGCGACAAATTTCGCTGATCGCGGTCGTTTGTCGCCTCCCGTGTGTCGAGCCCATTAGACGTGTCTCAGAGTGAGCTGAGCCCTCCCTAAGCCGAGTCTGTTTTAGTCAACATCTGGTTTTGTACGAAGTCTGTGAAACAGATCTACATCCATCTCAATTTGGCCTAAACTAAATATTTATAAAGCGCATTAAAATGCAACAGCAGGGAAAAGCAACATACACAACTAAAGACCAATATCCCAAGTTCAAAGAGACACACTGAAACAATGTTTTACGAAAATAAAACCACCATACAAGAACTTTAACTCATGAAGGCAACTATAAAACAATGCCGTAACTTGGGTCAACTTCCCTGACTGAACACAAGAAGGTAAAAGTGGGTTTCAGGCAGGATTTTAAATGGGTAAGTGACGCTGCCTGCCCAACCTGTAAGGCCCTCTTCCTCTAGAAACACGCCAGGCTTTCAGGACCCTGAGCAGCAATAGACAAGCAGAGCCTAAAGGCTAGTTTATACTTCTCCATCAGCAACTTTGCACTCAAATGCACTCGTATTGACAAAGACATTTTCCTTTTGTACTTCTCCGTTGGTGTGTCAGTCTTAAATCTGATCAGGGTTTGGATGAAATGTTTTCATCATTTTCAAGGTGGAAAGTACGAAGGAAAGGGAGAAACTTCATTTTCTTACAAAATACAAACAATCAAGGGTTTATAAATCATGTCATAGTCATAAATAATAAGCACAGCTCCATCTGTAGTGATCCATCAAAATGACGAGGAATGGATCAGAATACTAAACCACGAAGCTGAGAGGCTCACATGAATACAAACATTTAAACAGCATCAGGATAATGTTTCACAGTTTTGGTAGATTTATTTTTATTAGCATTTTGGACATTGTTACAGATCGCACAGCGTGCAATACATTTAATTTTGAACTTTTCACAATCAGATTTAAGCTCCTGCTTTTATTAATCAATGTAAGTGATTACATTTGTGTGTTTATTAACCTGATCTGTCTACCGCCTCAACCAAATGTCCACACCCACAGGGTACTGGTACCAGTTTATGTTTCATTTGGTACCAAGCTACACAAAAAATAAAAGCTTCTTTAACACAGAACTCAGTGATTTGAAGATGCTTTTATTTTTAAAATGTTTATTATTGTCAATGTAGTCCTAATATTTAAAAATTGCAAAAGTTTTATACATTTGTACAGAAGTCTGAAAATGTGTCCAAAATAAACATTTTACCATCTTACCGGCTGTGCTGCCTGGTTTCCCGTCTCCAACATGTGCTCACGCGAGGTCCAAAGTTTGCTTAAAGGGATGCTTTGCAACATTTTAATATTTTTGAATCAGTTTCCTGAGCCAGTATGTGCTCAAATTACCCTTTAGGATTAACTAATTCACTGCCACCCGTTTCCTGATCAGAAACGCCCTTTGCTGTCAGCGTTTTTCAGTGTTTTTACTGTTTTTTTTAAGAGTCACAGAACTTGGCAGGCTAGAATGATGTCGACACCAAAACTACCAAAACAAAGAGAAGACTCACCTCTTACATCAGGAAGAATCCGCACGTTTCGAGCGTTATCCGTTCTTTCATAACCCATTGTCGAATTGTAATCGGCAGAAGCTTTTCTGGTTCGCGCCTCACTTATATTACAGCAGCGACCCAAAACGATCTCCTAACACATGGATTTCTGCTTTGGGGCGACGGTGGCACAGGAGTTAAGTGTCACACTTGCTGGTCCGACTCCTGCTGGTGGGAGGAGCTGTGGAGTGGAGTTTTCTTCTATCATGCTTGTTTTAGGTCATGAACACAGCTGATTTGTTTGGTTTAGCGATGAACCGCTCCTGTTTCAGCAGTTAGATTAAGGTGTTAAAAAGACAAACGCACAGCAAGGAGAAAAGTTTCGTTTTCAGTAAAACCACTGTGAATTAATAACCAACACTAGGAGTGCTACAAGCAAGCAAAACTGCATAGTGCCCATTTAAAATGGCCACACAAAGTTTGCGTGAAAAGTCAGTTATGCAGTTTTCAGACCCCGTTTTGTGCATAAGCACACTTTATGAATGAAAATCCCTAGGAAATACCATCACACCCTGCTGGGATGACTGGTATTAGTGATTATCAGCCTCTGAACGTCTAGAAAAGGACAAAAACTGACCAAAGGGGTTTGTTTTTATTGTTCTCTGTCCATGAACTGATTGTGACGTCATGACAGAAACCTGGCTGCACCAACATCCTTTTATCCATGTTGTGTGTTGGTTTGTTTCCAGATCACCAACATGGAAGATGATCCAAACTGGTACACAGCTGAGCTCCACAACAGAAAAGGCTTTGTGCCAAAAAACTACATCAACCTGCGGCCACATGCGTAAGTACACACACACACACACACACACACACACACACACACACACACACACACACACACACACACACACACACACACACACACAACTTTTGTCAACTTGTACATTTCACACATCAACGTAATCAGTGAGTGTGCAGCGGGCAGCTCCAGGCCCTTTCTGCTCCGCTTTGGACATCTGCGCTCTGGCATAAGGCAGAATCCCCCAAGGAACCGCTCTTGCTCACTGACTTACATAACCATACAATCCAGAAGTGTGTGTGTCTTTACAGTAAATCTGCTGGTACACCCTGTTTCCCTATCCGACACACCAGCTGGGCTTTGCGTTTTTTTTTTTTTTTGTGGCAAACACCGAGCCGACAAGACAACCATTGCTTCAGCTCCGGGTTTTTAATAAACCCTGATGTTTGGTCCAGTCGGAGTTGTCTTGTTAGGTTTGTGTGCACCCTCGGGAGGAATATGTAGGAATATGAGTGTGTGTGTTTGTTTGCTCCTCAATCACGCTTCCTCGCTGAAGTTAACTGACACTAAACCAACAGAGCCAGGAAATTTGTCAGGATGTTTTAGATCTTAGTTGTAGTCATATGGCTCAGCAGAGTTTCCACCTCTAACACGAACAAACCGCCCCGCTCAGCTAGACTAATGAGCAAAAAACCTGCAAAAATGACACCATTACTTACGCTACGCCGCTGACAGCTCTAGCTTCGGGAGTCCTTTCATGAACATATTTAGCTTCTGAAATTTTTTTAAATAACATCACAAACAAGCCGTGATGTGTCTGTCAGCACTGATCATCAGTTTGCACCACCAAAAACCCAAGTTTAGACCAATAACCTCAGTAACCTCTTCTGTATTTTGGCATGTTTGTGACCATCTTCCAGCTGGTTCGCCGGGCGGATTTCTCGAGGCGTTGCGGAAAGTCGACTCCGACACAGAGAGTGTGGAGCCTTCCTCGTCAGAGAGAGTGAGAGCGCTCCTGGGGAGTTTTCCATGTCCGTCAGGTAGGAGATAATTACTCACACACACATACACACACACACACACACACACACACACACACACACACACACACACGCACACGCACACGCACACGCACACGCACACACACACACACACACACACACACACACACACATGGTCCTATAAATATTTACATATACTGGTTATGTAAAGACTCCTCTTTTATTGTTCCTCTGGATCTCATAGAGATCTCTCTAGCTCATCTTCCACAGTAGGAGATGCGTCTTCAAATGTACGATTAGCAGGATGTTCGGTCCTTTTTATATTAAAGTACTGGAGTGTGTGCATTCATGTGTGTGCATTTATTATTTATGATGGTGGCAGAGGACCAGAGGAGGAGGGTTGGAGGATAAGGTGTGTGAGGAATGGTAGAGGGTGAGATGGAGGACCTCCAAACCCTCTGGTTTGATGTCAGCTAATCCTGTCTGGCACAGCATCTGGAACTGCTAGTGTGTGTGTGTGTGTGTGTGTGTGTGTGTGTGTGTGTGTGTGTGTGCACATCTAGAGTCAGGGTTTTAGTGCTGATGAAGGCCAGAACTAGCAATGAAATTTGGCTCTTCTTTGCATGTTTAAGAGAGCCTGAGGGTGACGATGTGGTCAGTTACTTGTCCGATTTGGATCGATCAAACTCCGGTTGTTTGACGTTGGAATGTTTTGTGGTGGTGGGGAAGGAAAGAAAAGAAAGTGAATAGTAGAGAAAAGAAAGGAAATAAACAAGGGATAGAAAAACAAAGAAAAAGGAGGGAAAGAAAATGAAGGAAGTAAACAGGAGAAAGGAAAGTAATTAAAAGGGAAGAAGGCAGGATGAAAGGAAGGGTTGATGAAGGGAAATTGGAAAAAGACAGAAAAGGGAGAAGAAAATAAAATAAATGGTATGGAGGATGGGAGGAAAAGTAAGGAAAGGAAAAAGGGAAAGAAAGTGAAAATGAAGGAAAGAAAATGGAAGGAAAATTATACAAGAATGAAATGAAGAGAAAGGAGAAATAAAAGCAAGACAATGAAAATTAAATCAATTAAGGACAGTAAAATGTGGAAAAGAAGCAAAAGGAAAGGGCGGAAAAACAAGACGCGAGTATCAGAATCTATTTTAATTTCCTCTTATTTGCTGCTGTTCATTGATGTCTGACAGGCAGCGTTTGCCGGCTGCTGCAGCAGCCTGAAAATGGTCAGGTGTTCTGTGGTTTTTGAGCTCTGACGGAGCTCCTGTCAGCAGAGACGTCTCTACAGGAGCTCCAACGGAGATCTGTGCCGGAGTCGGGCTCTGCTGAGCTTCGACAACGGTCCGTGGAAATTCTGATCCACTTTAACAGAACGGAACCAAATGTTTGCTTCATAACTAAAAAAGTTGGCGAGAACAGAAAACACAGAAATGGCCCAACTGTGGTGGAAAAGATTAAAACGTAACCCCAGGAAATGTAGAAAGACATCCATAAGTGGAGAAAACACTATAATAGTGAAGAAATTATTAAACAAGGACCCAACCTTTTGGTCACTTTGTCTTTTTCATGATTTTTGTGAAGACTGAGGAACAGACATCAGTTATAAACAGACAACATATGGGGCCTTGTTAAAACTCTACACCTTTTTGGAAGGTAGAAGGCGTTTTAGGGGCTTTGCTTTAGACCATGCCAGTAAAACTATCCCAGTGGATTCTTTTGTAGCTTTCCCTTATAAAGCGAAGTGAAGTGATGCCAACCCAGACCTTCACAGAGATACGGGAATCCATTTTTCGTGGCTGGACGCGTTCCCAGTTCTCTTTGACACTGCAGCAGATGCACCCAAAGGACATGTTTTGGGCTATTTCTGAGTTTTGTACCATGCTGGAACTTAGATCTATCTCCTCTTTTATCAAAGTGGCTCCATTTGCTTGTTTGGGAACTTGGACTGCTGCTGGGAAAAGGAAAACTTTCCCATGTTTCTAAGTTTTAACCATTTAACACAACTGACATTTCTGTGGGTTTCTTCCTGTGCCAAATGAAGGTCCAAACATACATCTTTGATGCAAATGTGTTCTAATTCTTAACCCTCCCACTGTCCTAATGGGTGTGACCCCGCAAGTAAAGTTGACCATTGAGCAGGGTTGATGGTTTATCCCTTGGGTCCATGTGGCAGGGGTGAGGAATGAGCACCACCTCACCCCTGCCACATGGACCCAAGGGATAAACCATAAATCCTGCTCAATAGTCAACTCTCCTCGCGGGGTCACCCATAAAGACAGTGGGAGGGTTAAAACAATCCAAAACAATGATAATGCCCAGAAATTGTTCCATTAACTCTGCTGTCTGGAAGAGATCTAATCTGCAAATGCCTTTGTGAAGGATCTGTAATGTTCTCTGGTCCTGAAGCTTGGTTTATGCTTGACGCATTCACTTTCCGCGTGGTGATGCGGCTCGCGGATGGAACGCGCTTCACAACTCGCAGCATTTATGGTTCATGCGGCTTGTCTCTGTGGTGAGCCAATATTCTCCCAAAGTGTAGGGGGCAGCATGGAGCTCTACAGCATGCATCCAACACTAAACCGTAGTAGAAGTAAAAATTACTGTTGTTTACAACATGTCATTCCAGCATTTTTAACAGCGTCCTCGTCTTTTCCGACAGTGCGAGCTATTTCTCTCCAAGAATTATTAACAACGTGTTGATCACGGTGATCTCTGAGAGCTGAATCATACAAATGTTTGTATTTCCGAACCTCTGCCATACTAGTTCTTGCTGGTCCGCCATGTTTTTCCGCATCCGACTGTCCGCGTGGTTAGAAATTTTCCTAGGTGCGCGTTGCGGAAATTTTGGGCCGTGCGGAGGCGCGGTGGAGGGGCGTGGTTGTTAAAATGATGCAATTTCGCCACACGGAGCCGTGCGGACCTCGCAGACGTGTCAAGCATAAACCAACCTTTACTGGTTCTAGTTCATGTGAGCACTGTACCAGTGTTAGCCCCACCCATCATGATCTCATTGGTTAAAATGTATGATGATGTTCAACCTAACAAGTAGTGATGAAGATCTCAGACCTGCTGTGACCAAGAAACCAACAAAAATAATAAAAACAGCAATAATGTACAATTAAAAAAATAGCTGGTGTTAAGCAGTGTTGGACAAGTTACTTTAAAAAAGTAATTACACATAGTTACCCCCACCATGCCACCAAGGGGTTAATTTCTAGGAATACTTGACTCGTTAGTCTCTAGTAGGAATGAATAACTTGTAAATCGTTCTCGGGGAAAAAAAATAAACACCAGTGCACCATTTCTCGGCCCTAAAAGTTGCCCACATCACAGCTGATCTTCAAATATGGGAGTCTTATTTCCTGATATTTGAACTTCTCGTCCCGGATTGGATAACAGCAAAGCAACTCTAGCACTGACCTGTAACGTGGATGTTTTATCTCCACAAATAATGTAAGCCTGGAGGAGCTTCTGCTGTGTGGTGGAGTTCCTAATGCTACAGGTTAGCTTAAGCTAGCCGAGATTTCCACTGCTGATTCCTGTACGTTAACCCAACAACAGCCTTCCCCGTAGTGAGTCGAGATGGGGGAGTCCATGGAAGTGAATTCACAGTTTGACGTAGATCTGTCAGGGTTTTTAAATCCTAGAGTTTCACAGTCTATTTTCTATTGGAGACTAATGCAGGAGATAGGTGTAGGAGACTATTTTCATGTTCAGCCTGTTTGTTAAACTCAGAGTCAGTCAACCACACCTTTACAGCTCCATGTCAATCAATCAATCAATCAATCAATCAATCAATCAATCAATCAATCAATCAGTCATTCAGATTATATTTATAAAGCGATTTTCAAACAAAGTACTACTCAAAGTGCTTTACAAAATGACCCCAAATTCCCACCTATAGAGGGCCCAGTAAGCAACAGTCGACCACTGCCCCTGGGGCAGAGGGCCCCCACAGAGAAAACACTGGATTAAAATGAGTAAAAATATGAAAATAAAATAGCTAATATAAATGACAAAAGTAAGAAAATAAGTAATAAGTAAAATCATATAGACAGTAAAATAATAACATTAAATAATGAAACTGTGCTAAAATATAATCATATAAAACATGCACAACAAGCAATAAAATATAATCATGTAAAACGAGAAATAAAACTGTAGTAAATAATTAGTCGTCATCGTCGTCTTCCTCCGCTCATCCGGGTCCAGGTCACGGAGGCAGCATCCCAACTAGGGAGCTCCAGACCATCCTCACCCCGGCCACCTCCACCAGCTCCTCCGGCAGGACCCCAAGGCGTTCCCGGACCAGATTGGAGATGTAACCTCCCCAACGTGTCCTGGGTCGACCCGGGAGGATTAGATAAAAGCTAACCTAAATTGGTGGGTCTTGAGCCTGGACTTAAAAACATGAACATTCTCTGCGGCCCTGAGGCCCTCCGGCAGCTCATTCCAGAGGCGAGGGACATAATACTGGAAGGATGCCTCGCCGTAAGTGCGTCTCCTGACTTTAGGGATGACCAAGAGACGCCTGCCAGAGGAGCACAGAGGCTGTGAAGGTTCATATGGTAAAAGCAGTTCTGAGAGTTAAAAAGGCCCAAGACCGTTAAGCCGCTTTAAAACCATTAGAAGAACCTTAAAATGGATCTTGAAACATTTTAAAGACTTCCAGGTATTGTACAAAATCTCACTTTTTTCCCAGCAAAACCTTAGTTTTAACATGGACAGGAAAATAGGGAGGAAAAAAATCTCATTTGTCAAAAAATGATGTTGAGTTGTGAAAAACTACACTTTTTGACTAAATTTTGATAAAAATGAGCATGACTATGGAATCTCATCCTACACCACATGTGACCTTGCCGTGTGTAAAACCAATTACTAACAAGTCATAAATACCAATTCAGTGGGATTCCAAGATCATAGACACATTTGAGCTGAAATGGTTTCTACTCATTAGCATTTCAATGTGAGTCCCACCAATGGACCAATGACGCTGTGACTCTTTTATCACTTGCCTCCACTGGCTGATGGACCATAAAGAA